AATATCCTTATCTCTGAATTCACTGGTGAATATTTTGAGAAATACTTTAGAGCTTTGATAATGTTTGAGAAAAGATAACTATATAATATTTTCATAATTAAAGTGAGGTTTTTTTAGTGGTATGCTGAATATTGGATAGGAATTGAGGTAATTGTCACTGAAAACCACTCTATCAGAAAGACAAATTCTCACATGATTTGTGAAACAGTCTCAGAAGTATGTGTTTGTAACAGCCAATGCACATGTGATACTGCTTTCAAATGCACTTAGATGTTTAGATAAGTTGAGGGATAAGAAAACTATGACTCAAAGGACTTTGTTTTGTTGAAAATGTAATAGAATTGCTATATCCACATACTTTCAATTCACAGTATCTTAATAGGATTCTATAATTACTTTAAATTCCTTATTTTCTGCAGTAAAGCTCTTTTGCACAAAGAAATGACTTCATAAAAGCCTGGCACCATGCAGTGGCCTTTTTTTTAGTTTGAGAATCCTAGCAGATCTCAGAAATGGTGATATTCTAGAGTAAGGAATTTATTATAATAACTTGGAAGTGTACCTCATTTGTATGAATTCAATGCTTTCATTCTTAAGTTTTTATTAATAAAATAATCTCTGTAATGAATAAAAATAATCAAAATATATAGTATCACTGCAGTGTAAATTGTGAAATTTTTCAGTTTTCGTGCAATTTTCACAGTCTGTGAATGAAGTACTTTTACAGAGTGCTTGATAGCAAACTGCTCATACATTTTAATGGTTAAAACCATGCCCTTGAACTCTATAGTGCATGTCTGAAATCTGTGGCATACATGCATTTAGTTTATGAATCCAGTTAGAGTTGCACACGTGTCTATCTTAAACATTTGTGTAAATGCATGTAGTTTTCACTGTTCAAATATGTTTTCCTATATTAGGTTCACCTTTCCATTCCAGTTGAAAGAAGTATGATTTGAGTTTTTATTCTGACTCTGGAGATTCACATATATCAAAAATATTTCATTGATTTCAGTTTGTTTTCAGTAATTTAAGATTGCTGTTACCTTTCTGCAAATCTGAGGTAGTTAAACATACAGCATGGATGATGCATACTATGACCCTTTGGCACAGAACAACTGGTAGTGGCTGTTTATATGTGCAATAAAATTGTGATCAATCTCTGACACTTACTACAGACTTCCTGCTGCTTAGAAATGTGTAGTGTAATAGCATTTGTATGTTTTCTGTTCCCTTAAGAGTTCAGTATGCTGCTTCACAGGAGCGAAGAAAATTAGAAATAACATCACAGACACTGTGATAGGAATAAATAAAATAGCAATTTGTAAAGTCTTCCAGACAGATCTTTAGAAATAAATGAAGGAGTCTCTGCGTATAGGTATAATGTAAATATAACTGCAGTAGGGATTATGTTTATCTGTTTTGTGTATAAACACAGGTATTTCATTTTATACATTACTGTTTAAATTGTAAGAACATGACCTTTTTCTCTCTTACCAATAACTAGACCACAAGAGACACCACTTAGTACAGTTGAAGTTGAAATTAATATCTTTAAATTTTAGAAAGCTGGTCTGGGGGCGTTCCTATTTTAAGTGTTTGAGTTGGAAGATTAAAATTCATTAATCATTTTGTGATAAGTTTCTGAATTTTAATAGGACAATAATGGGTGAAAATTACCAGATTGTCATTGATTTTACCTTTTCACTGTGGCAGACAGTTGGTAGTTTTCTGGGATACGTGAATATGTTACAAAAATATAACAAACTAAAAAAAACCCAAACAAACAAAAAGCAAAACACAGCCAGACAAAAAATGGATGTAGAGACCATACATCCACTTTATGAGTTTAGAAGAACAGAAACAAACCACCATATTCTAGCATCAGTACAAATTAAACTACAGGAACCATGTGTAAGGTTCCTATATTCCATCACCTACTTTTCCTGGCATTTCACAGAAATACAAAGCTGATTATATGCACTGTATAAAATCATGTAATTCTTTACTTAAGTCTTTTGAATAGAATGATTAATTTCTCTTCTTACTAATAGGTTATGTCTGAAATCCTGATAAAATTTGAGTTACTGAAAGCTTCAATTTATTTTTAATGGGTAGAGGATTTTAATGGGTAAGAGGATACTTACATGAAATATAACATGGGTGTCCAAGGAATATCTAATGATTATATCTAGTTTCATATCCAGTCTAAAATCTGTGGATGTCTGTGGAGAAGAATTTTATATGCATGATGCAGGTGAAGGTTTGCTAACAATTTTTTCTTACCTTTTGGTCCCATAATTGCTCTTTTTTTTTATCTTTAGCTAACTCAGTGTTTGAAAGTTATATCTATTTAAATCCATAGAAAATTTAAAGTATCTGCAGGAAATACCATTCCAAGGTATTATGCCAGTATTTTAGTTGTAAATAAGTCTGATGGCAAAAAAGTTAGCTGCTGTAATTAATTATGATGAATAGGCATACAACTTGAAAGTGAATAAGCTTTTTAAGTATAGACAATGTTCCTGTAGTAATCCCTTCATGCAATTTGTTTTAGTATACCCTGTGTTCCAGTGTGGAACACAAAAAAAGCCATTTAGGTAAAATATTTGCTATTTTCTCCATCCTAAGAGTGTGATTTCCATGCAATTGAAGTTTAAGAAAGGGCTTAGTGTTAGGTTACATTGCTGAAGAGGGAAGTTTGTACAGAGGGTCTTCTTCTTTGATCTCCCCTTTTTTTAATCTCACTTTGAATGCCATGCTTCATAAAACTGCATAATTATCATGTTCTCAAACCTAAAAATTAAAATCATCATAACAGGAAATACTAACTAATCTCTACTAACATAATTTAACTGCATGAATCCAGTACGCATAGAATCATAGAACAGAATCACTAAGGTTGAAGAAGACCTCCAAGATCACCTTGCCAACCAAACTATATCACAAAGTACCACATCCAGTCTTTTTTGACCACTTCCAGGCATGGTGACTTTACCACTCCCCTGGGGAGTGCATTCCAATGCTTGAACACTCTTTCAGTGAAGAATTTGTTTCTTAGATCCAACCTGAACCTTGTCTGGTACCACTAGAGGCCATTTGCCCTTGTCCTGTCACTGGTTGCCACTAGAAGAAGCTGATCCCCAGCTTACTATAAACTTCTTTCTGGAATTTGTAGAGCCAATAAGATCTCTCCCAAGCTGCCTTTTCTCCAAGCTAAATAACCACTGTTCCTCGTGTTTCAGACCCTAATACTTGCTTTACTGAAGAAAGCAAAGGCATCACTATTAGATGTACATAGCCCATGGGCACTCATTTAATTATTCATATGAAGGTCATATACATTCCTTGTTTCTATACATTTGGAGTACTTTCTAACTCTTATTGTTTTCCATTCATGCTTTATGAGGAAGGGGAAGTTGCCTTTTTCTGATACAAGCCTAATTATTGTCATCCCTGATTGATTATGTCCTACCCTTACTAAAGTATAATGCATTCTGGAGAGGCTACTATAGTGAAACAACCATACATTCCCATGTTGCCTTTGTGTTATTTATTAAGTAGCGCTTTACAAAGTGCCTTCTACCACTGCACGTATGCACTGGTTTCCGGGCTTTTAGGGAATAGGATGCTGCTCGTGGCAGTGAAAATTTCTTGGTTCAAAATGAATATAAAGTGACTATGAGTGGAGACAGAACTCAAAGTTTGCACCTGCTAAGAGAAGGTTATCAAATTAAAATGTGAATGTTCCATATAGCTTTTACCTACAGTTGTTTCCAGAAACACAGTGAAATTCAAGAAGTGAATCGGGCCCATTTAATTCAATGAAAATCTTTAAAAAAAAATAACAGGATCACATGTTGAAGGGGAAGGCAAATCTCACTTGAACCTGCATCTTCTCTTCTTTCCTGTAAGTACCTTAATTGTAACACCTTCAGACATTGCCTTTGTTGGTGTATTTCCACTTTATATGCAATATATAAATATTCATTAGCATAGTAATTAGAACTTGGGTTTCCCATGTAAATTGCTTCAACAAACAGGGAATAGAATGATTTTTTTTCTGTCTCATTCAGTATATGAATATTTATTAAAAGTAATAAGAAATTTCATCAGGAGAGACTGAAACATACTTATCAACAAACTGCCTATAGTAATAAAGATAAGAGAGTTCCTGGAAAATAGGGGTTAAATAGCCTTCAGGTAAAGCTGAAATGCAAAGATAAGATTTCCATATAATTGATTGTTGAAAGAACTCTGTTATTAAGCAAAAAGTGAGGAACATCTGACTGGAATAGTTTTCCTCCTTGTTTTCTGTATTTGGTATCAGTGTTAAAGCTTACCATGTCAATAAAAGAAATGAGAAAAATAAATGTTCCTTTTATTTTCTTTCAGATGTCACTCACAGAATTTAGAAAATCATTTGCACAGTTCCCTAGTCTCATTTTTGCTAATAGATATTGACTTCCCCAGTTCTTTTTATATTCCTCTACTGAGTGAAAAACATAGCATATATTGGAAAATTTAAGGTAACAGGTAACAGAAGACATCTTTAATACTGCCACAACATCAGAAATTAGTATCACAGGCTTTTAAACAAAATTGATCTTGACATTATGGATGACCTTTCAAAAGTAGAGACTGTTGTCAGATCATTTTTATGGTAGAGTATTCTTATCCCATGTTATTTAACATAGTTTAAGTCAGCTGTGTTGGCAGCAAACTGCATAAAGCAGTTTAGTTTTTTCTATAGCTTTTCAGACTAAGGCAGGTGTAAGGTAGTGGTTTGCTTTATTCCGGACCCTTATAATTTTTGGGTTGAGTTATAGATGGAACTTGGTGTAGCCCTTAGAAGATATAAAAAACTTACATGATTATGGTCTTGATGAACAAGCAATAAATAGGGAAAACTCAAAGAATGAAAAACACAAGAGGGCAAAGAGGATTTTTTAATTTTTAAGATATTTATTGTACATTTTTCCTTTACACATGTACAGCAATTGGAAAGGTGACTTCTTATAGCTCATGGGTCATATATCTGAAAGCAATGGTTGCAACTAAGTCAAAAATCTGACTGGGTCTTTTCTTTGACAGGAAGAGATGTTTTTCCCTAAAAAAATAAGATAAAAGTAAAAGTATGAGTACTTATAGAGGAACATTCAAAAGCACTTTTAAAGTCCTAGAGGAGAAAAAGATCTGTAAAAATGATTAATGATTATCAGCCATAAAATAAGTGTTTTTAAGCTCTGTCAACTTTGCTTTTCTAATGAGGACTTAGCTGTGCCCCAACTAAAGCCTTTATCCAAGCTGTGTTTTGTATTTCATTTAATCAATGCTTTGTATAGAGACAGTTACCATCGTCATAACCTTTCAGTTCTTGTGTTTTGGCATATCACAGATTTTGTATGCAAGTTGGGGGCTCAAGGGAAGCACATTTAACTGAAATGTCCAAGAACAATTTAATGTGTGATGCAGGGTTATAGAACTACTCTCAGACTTGCTTATTGTTGCAAAGAGAGCCTTTGTAATTACTAGGGGATTATGGCAGAATATGAAAGACCTTGAAAGCGGCTTTCGTGAAGATCAGGAACGTGTTCTGCACAACCTCTGAAACAATCAGCTAGAGTAGTGAAGCAGAAGTATATTAAAATGTGAAGAGTTCACTGAAAAGGTCCTGATAGAAACACCCAATTAAAGAAATAAAAACTGATATTTAAGATTGTGAAAGGTTCTCGCTTTAAGAAAAAAGAGCCTTAGGAGGCCTGGAAATGAGATGACAATACAAATACAGTGGCTCCTTCCTCTTTTCTCAGCAACGAAAGTAACATAATTTGAGTTTAATGTTACATAATTAAGAGGAATGGAATTGAAGTTAGTTGTACTGGTACACTGCCTAAATCATGATGTGAGATCGAGACCAATAACACAGGAATAACTGAGTTTCTTTTTTCATATGTACAAATTAGTGAAAAATTTTGGATAAGAGTATGGTGCAATGTACCACCAAACTGTCTTATTAGCTTTCATTTCTTAATTAGGTTTTTTTATCTGATTATTTTTTAGTCACAAAGGATATGGTTTTTAAACTAATTTCTCACCAAAAATGTCTGCATAATTTTATACTGAGCTGTACATTTTTACTTTGTCCTTCTCTATTTCAGAGTTAAAAAACAACAAAAGCAATACAATGCTAAAAACTGGCTAAGTGGTGTAGGTGTAATTTGTGTTGATGTATGGGATTCTTAGTTCTGATAAAATCTTTTTCCCAATCCTGATCATGGAGGATTCAACCATAAACTTTCATTTCTGTGATGGAAGCTGCCTTGCCTGGCACTGAGTTTTCCATTAATGCTTTTTTCTCTCAGTGATGCTGGAGTTGAAGCAAGTGTAGGTGAATTATCTTTCAGTAGTAAGCAGATAGAAAAATCAGACAGTGCTTTTGGAAACTGAGTTTTTTTACAGAAGTAATTAGCAAAGCCTGAATCTTTTACAGTTTGCTTACATACTGAATGCATGAAGTTATTTTTACTTTATGAGTATTTCTGAATGACATGATGAGAAACATTTTTTGTTATGGTTTGTTTTATGATTTTTTTACAGTTTCATCCATAATGTATTAAAAAATATTAGAAGCCCACTTGATAATATTTTTCTTTTGTAAAATACTTGTTATGTATTTGAAACAAAATTCTACAGGTTTATCAGGTTATCCTTTATGTGAAAGTACCTTTATCCCACTGTATATTTGTAAGAAATCTGGTACAATAGTCAATAAAATCCAAATAACAATTCCCACTATTACTGACACCTGCTCCAAGGTCATAAGAGGATGATTTTCCCCAGAATACCTACTGTTTATATATCTGAGATAAAATCAACATTAATGTTATCAGCATACAGGACCTTTCTTCATTTTACATTACAGGTCTAAAATACTCTCATAAAGCAGATTTATATTATTTTTCTTTTGAGTCAGTTGAAAATTAGGACTTTCCAGCACTTAAACTTTATTCCCCCTCCCCCAAGACATTTAATTAAAAATGTGTGAACTTCTTAACTGGAAAAGATGTTTCACTTTTTTGGAATTGCTGGGGGGAGAATGTAACATGGGAATCATAAAAAGTTAGACTTCCCTCAAGAAGCAAAATTTATGCAAATGAACATATTCATTGGAAAAAAAACATAGTTAAAAAAATATATATAATTTACTCTTGTTGTTAGCTGGAAAATTTGAAGATATTTTATTATTTTTGCCTGCACTCATATTGTGGAATAAAGTTCTGTGTGAAAGCAGCAGCTATGCTTACATTCTTGTCAAGAATTAAATAGTGACTGTGTGTGCTTTTAGAGGCCAGCAGGCAATAATACTGTGTAGGAGTGGCCAAAGAATGAATATTTCTGAATATGTAACATTTATATTTTAGGAAAATGAAATTATTGGAGTAATTGTATAAAGGTATTTTTAGATTAACTTTTCAACTTCACCAACCTTTTTCCTGTTGAAACCCACTTAGTGTTTGAAAGATTTACATCCAGTTAACTTGTCATTGATACCCCTGGAACTTCTGAATGCTGTCAGAAAAACATGTAGGTTTTAGGAGAGAAATAGTGACAATGAAAGAAAAATTATATTTAAGTACTGTTAGTCAATAATGCTTTGTTCAAATATAAACAACAACAAAAATCTTTATTTAATGTTCAGGTAAGTAAATGATCAGTGTTGAGTGCAAGTACTCAGGAATTTGGGTTTACTTTTCTGTTTTTCAATAAAATGATTTCTCATAAAACAGAATCAAATGTGTATTTGGAGACCCTATATAATAAGTGAAATATAAAACACTGCATTAAATTAGGAGGCAGACAACAATGATATAAGAAATAGGAAGATACTCATTCCTGATTAATTATACTGAATTCTTTTGTGTTCAGATATGATCTCCGAAAAAAAAGGAAAAAAGTATGATCATTCCTTTCTCATAAAAAGTCTAATGAATGGCACAATTTGAAATGTTAAGTGAGCTTCTACTATAATATTTCCATCTCATTGTGCAGAATATTAGAATGTAATTCATAGAATAGTTCTTAAATAGCAGTTAATCCTTACTTCACAAGGATTACTCTCTATATGTACACTATATATACAGGGCAGCTTCATACATGCAAAAAAATTTAATCCTGTCTTTAATTGGGAGTCTAATCTGAGCCTGCAAGGAAGACAACGTGTTTTTTGCATTATCTGAATATAAGTTAGTGAATAAATTGATTGCTAACAATTTAAAAAGCTGTCAAAATTCAGACCGAATTTGTGGTGGTTTTATTTTTTGTTTATGGAACAGGAGTAGATTCACAAAACTAGTAGTGAAGAGATAACAACTGTTTCTCTTCTTTATCTTCCCGTCTCCACCCACTCACCCCCGCAAAGTTGAAGATCTCACCATATGTTTTTTAATGCAATAACTCCTATATATAGGACACTAAATTTCAACCCCTTCCCCCTGACTGAGATTTAAAGCTTTATTTTCTACCTTCCAGGGAAATCACCTAACCAGTGGATATTCTGCAGTGATATGCTCTCACCTGAACTATCTGAACTGCTACTTTGACCGAGCTGTGTGCCTCCCAAGTGAATTCTTTAACCATCAGACCAAAGAGTCATTCTCTCTCTTTGACTCAGTATTTAAATAATCCATGCAGAACAGCTTTTTCCATGGGGATCGAGAGAAGCCAATTATAGATTTCTCACTGGTTGAAGAACTCTTTTGGGAAGGTGAAAATGTGGGTTCAAGAATGTGGAGACAAGGTCTTGAACCTGATTGTCCCACGTTGTATATCAGATGAGGCCCTAACTGCAGAGCTATTGAATAAGTGAAGAGAGGGGGGATTCTCTTTACTTTCATGAATGATTTACAAAGAGTGAGTAAGACTAATCTTTCATTTCCAGTTCTTTAGTTTTGTGCTTAAATTGCTTCTGCAGAGTTTCCTATGTCTCTGGCAAGTATACAAATTAATTATTGGAGAAAAATGCTATTTTTGGGAACGTAGAAGAATAATTCTTCCCCACATTTTTTGTTCCCAAATATTTCCTGAATATTTATGACAGTTTCAAATGAAATCAAAGTATGGTTTTCTTTGTCCCTAAATGTGTAATTTTAGTTTAATAGCAGGGATATTGTAGAGTAGGGAGAAGATGACTGATTTATTTTTCTATACCCTTTATGTTAAAACATCTAACTGAAAATTATTTATGTAATACTTAAAGCCCTCTTGCATAGATTTCCACTTTTCCTGCCACTTCCTAATTCAAGAACCTGTACTGAGCTGAACTAGCATGCCTCTGTTAACAAGGAGTAGTAGAACTTGCTGGCAATGAGTGCTTAGTTCAGACACAAGGATCAATACAAAAGAAACACTGCCCATTTATGAAATCTGAGTCATTTTTCTCTACCTTTTACATTGCCAGGGGATATGAGGAAAAGCCAGAACAAAGTGTAGGAAATTTTTTTTGGTGGGGAAAAATGAAGCTAGAAAAATCTTACCTGCAAAGGTCAGCTGTTGATCTCTTGCAGGAAATGTCCCAGCAGTAGTATACAGATACAGATTATGTTGTCAAACACTGGAAATCTGTAGAGTCACACAGAAGGTTTTCTGGTATCAGTTGGGAAATCCAGAGTTCCCAAGTCTTAATTTAGTGAATGGTTTTTCCTTCCTTTAGAGCTGTAATGAAGGACAAGAGTGGTAATGTGCTGTTCCTTACTTAGAAAGAGCACTTGGTGTTAATCTTGATTTCCCAAGCTTTTATTATATATCAGTGGAGTAATGGTCAAGTACGCAGTGTCCTTCCTCCTCCAAGGGATATGGAGAATTCATATACTAGAATGATCAAGACACAAGCCCAATAATAAAGTCTAGTTTCCTAAACCTTCATGACTAGTTTTCTTCAGCTTTCCCTTTCAGAATTTTATCCAGGATAACAAAGAAATCCATTCATTTTTTCATTACACATATTCACAGACATTCACCATGCATTTCATGGGGGAAGGAAATATTCTCTGTACATGAATTGTCCTAGAAAGTGGTTATATCATAGTAGGTGTTTAGGCAGCCCTGATGCCCTCACTTTAAATGAGAAGACTTTTGAAATATCTGATGGATTTGTGTTGCTTGTGCTTTTTTTTATTAAATTCTGATAGGAGATATACTTGAACTCAGAGTTGTTCATACGTATCAGTTCTCCCAAAATAATGCATTTTTCTGCAAGACTTCTAATCAGAACACTCAAAGATATGAACATTTTTTCTGGAAGAGTCAGGTGTATTTGCTAATTCTTTGTCGCTTGTTGACCTTTTTGCAAGATATAGTGCATTACTCAAGCAAAAGCTATTGCTAATAGAACATCCTGAATTCTGTTTTTCACTAATCATCTGTCTTTCTTGATAATGCTGGACCTTCTTAGTCTGTAAGACTAAACCTAGTTTCCATTATAGAGAAATTAGGATATTTTAGCCAATGTTTTATTTTTAAGACTGAAAATTATTTTTGAAGTGAAAACAATCATAAAATATAAATATTCTTTAGTCTTTATTTATTTCCTTTGACCTTCACATTCTTAGATTTAAACTGCATATGAAAAATGGTATTTTTTAAAAAATAATAATATTTATGCATTTTCTGTTTCATAGCTAAGAATCTTCTCATACTTTATGGATTTCACAAAATAATAAAAAATGAATTTAGCATTATTCAAAACAAGCATCCGAGATAAAAATCTTTAAAATGATTCTCCATTCATATAAGGTATGAAGCTTTAGTACATGAACAACTTCTCCACTGCATGCAGGGCTTGATGAAACCTGTCACCTGACTGTGAAATGAGCAGGGCAGGTAAACTCAGATGTGTTTCTTCTGTCCTGCCCAGTTTAAAGAAACAAAGGAGGAGAACGTTCTGGAGGGATCGTAAAGTGAATTTTTGCAGTGATTTTTTTTTTTATTTTTCACCCCCACAACATTTCTTTCTGGGCATCCCTCAGTCTTATCTTGTCTCTCTAGATTTCCCACGGTTAACTCCTACCTGGTAAATTCGTATTCTGTATCAAATCTGTGTCTTCCAACCTAAATCATGCACTGTCATTGTTCAGATAAAGCTTTCTTCAATGGCACATGCCACCTGACATTGTTTTCTTAATTAATCTCATATCAGAAGGCTAAAATTGATACTCAGGAACTTAAAAAACCCAACCAAACAAACAAAAACAACCTCACCAAAACAAATCAAATATAAACCCTAAACAAATAAGCCCGAAAGTGAAACTCTTACAAACATGGGAACATTCCCTGGCTTATTTTTTCTCAAAACCAAGAAAAATCTCAAGAATGAAAATTCAAAATATGAAATTAGAAATGAAAGAGCTTAAATTATGCCTTATTCACCAGAAAAGTGTGAAGAACATAGGAAATTATGATTATTTGTTCTTTGTAAGAAATGAAAAAAATTATTACTTGTCTTTGCATTAGATGATCAGGTTTTTTTGCTCTACTTTTTTGCTTCTATGCCTGTGTTGTGGATGTGATGGAGCCTTCATCCAACTTTGGTTTTGTGGCATTTAATAGATTAAGTTATTCTCCAATTAAATGAATGATACTTTCCAAAATGAGTTTCCAATCCCATAATTATTTAACAGTTGGAATAATAACACTCAGTGCTTGAGTTAGATAGCTTTTGATTTTTGGACTACTGAAGTACACTGAAGTATATAGATCTTTATTTTCTGTGAAATTATGCAATGAAATTATGAAATGATTCTCCAGGAATGCACATTCACTTAAACAAGTCTTGCTCAAACAATAAATTATTTCAGTCTCGAACAAGAAAGTGGGTATATATGACAAATGCAACTTTAATAAAATATTTCTTACTATGCCTTTTAAAATGGTTTATATAAAGCAGACAAATATTCAGCCTTTCTAGAACTGATATACTGAAGTTAAAATCATGGATATTTTTCTTTTGTACTTGTACTTTTTTTATTTTTCCTAAAAAAGTGTGGCAAAATCCACATACAGCTTGAGTATGGAACTGAATCTTTCTATTACATATTCCCTGCCTGAATGTCACACTAAGGCCCCTTAAGTCACTTCAGCACCAGTCAGAGATGTTCAGAAACACTTCAGAGTGCCTTAATTGTTCATCAAGACCTAACCCTTTGAACATTGCTTGAAGGCATATTGGCTCTGCTCTGGAGTCACTGAAGCAAAATCGTAGCATCTGGATGCAGTGTCAGAATAGCCCAGGGAGCTCCAGTGCAGCACCCAAGTGGATTATCTCAACACAGAATACAAACACTGCATTAGCGATTGCCGCGAGGCTACAGTTCATCTTCCTCTGAAATACAATACAAGAAAAGTTAAAGGATGATACTTTTTCCTTTGTATCTTCTGTTGTGTGAACAAAGGATCAAGCTGTGTTTTGATGTTTTGTCAAGTGTTTGGCAGCATTTTCAATTCTTGTTTGGCCTACTAATCCACCACTTCTTCTTTTGTTTGGACAAAGCAATGGATGTTTTTTCCAGTTTATGCTGTATTGGATATGTTAGTGCGAAAGAAGGAATCCAGTCAATGATGTTGCCTTTGAATCAAAGTATTGAATCAAAGTAGAGGAAGAATAAGTATAAAAATATTTTAGTTGCCTATTAGTACTATAACATCTAATTATACTCTCTTTACTTGTACATAATTGTCTTATAATTCTGTGACCTATGTGAAATAATATTTCTTTTGCTTTGCTTTCACAGATGGCAGCAAAATTGCATTCCATTGATTGAAAAGAGCATTGTAAGTAACTCTGTCTCCCCTGTTGAATTAGGCATCCCATTTTATTTTTCTAAATCCACTAAAATTTTATCTTATGGATGAAACTGTATTCTTCCTTGAAAACTGGTGAACAATTAATACTCTGTGAGAGCCTGTGAGACATCTGGCATGTGGCTACAGATACAATTCCCAAGCCAGATTTCTTTTGCCATCGGCAAGAATAGTTTATGTAAGGCTTAGGCCAACAGGTCAAGAAATATAAATGCAGAAGCATGCTAAACATACCACCTGACATCAGGCTTTGCCTGGAACACGGTTGATCTGTAGAGTGCACACCAGAATGAATACTGGAGTGCAAAACTGGGGCACATCAGCATATACATACAGTCTGTTTCCCGACTTCCTGTTTTTCTGACCATGCATTTTATTCATATATGTGTATAAGTGAAACTAAATGCAAACAGGAGCATAAGACTGATTTGAAGATTTACTATTTTTATTTGATTCAGATAGCATTATATATATACATAAATATATATATATCTGCATAGAAGCCTAACATAAAGTAAAATAATTTGTTCAATGATACTAAAAAAAAAAACCTCAGCTAAACACTCTATTTCACACTACTATTTGAACTATTCACACTACTCTTCCAAATACATTAACAAAATATATTCCATTTGGAACACGTCAAGTAAATGGGTAACACTTGTTCTAGCATGTCTAGCTGCCATTAATTTAGTTAGTATTCATTGTAATTACACTCATCATAATGAATTCATTTAGTATTAATGTGAATATTACACAACTTTTTAGACAATCCATTATAATTCAGCAATAATTAATGTACATATTAAATGAAGTGTTACTACTTACTGCTATGATAAAGCCATGTTGTTTCACTTGAAAAGCTTTAGAGGAAGTTACATTTAGTCTCATTGGTATTCCAATTGATGCCAGGACATATTCTTCAGTAGCAAAGGGCAATTCTCCTCGGGAGACTTGTTAATTTTTCAGAGAGATTCCATGTTTGCACTTGTCTACTGATTCACATATAAGATACTAGCATTTGAAGCAAGATACTTTGTGGACATGATAATGCAAAAAACTCATTGCACTATCCTAAAAGCATGAAAAATTTCTGACATTTTAGGCAGCATCCAATAAAAAATGCCTGAGTTTATAGGTGAAGTCCTGTCGCACTTACATTTTATGATTCTTCTTCCCTTCTGCCCTCCAAGAATAATCCAAAACTGGGAAGCAAGTATTTTAAATGTATCACATATCAACAGAATTAGGTGCCTCGAAGGCATCCATGTCCAATTCAGGCATGGATCTAAAAGTAATGACTAGGGGAAACATAACAAAAAAGAATGCCCATATTGGATTAGGCTAAGAATTATCTGGACATCATCCTGTCTCTGGGCAGTGATTATAAATACATGCCCAGGGAAGGGTAAGAACTAGAACTAGATTATCCAGCCTCCAGCAGTTTTAGCTGATGAAATTTCATCAGCTGTTTGTGGTTTATAAAGATTAAGATTTTCTTGTATTTTGGTTCCCTGAACCTATTCCCACAAACCTATTTAAATCTTAGAACAGGTATGAGTTGCATGAGTCTATTACCCTGTTCATTTCGTGTTTAAAGAACTTTTTTTGTTGTTTTTTTGAATGTGATTTCTTCTCTCTTAATTTGAATCTACATTGCATTGGGTTTGATCGAGCTGTAAAGAATCCATTCCCTTTATGCCACCAGTGATTTGTGAGCCTCATCTATATCCTTTGGAGATTGTCTTTTCAAGAGAAGCATCCTACTCTGTATAGAGTTCGTCTTTCTTGCTCTGTTTTGGATTTTGCATGCTACTCATGGCTTTCAAAGTGTGAGAAGTTCTGTGTTT